GGGTCGTTATGAGTCGGAACTGACTAGATGGCGCCTAACAACAAATCATGTTGTACAATTCTTTTATATATTGTTGAATTCTATTTGCTAACATTTTGTTAAGGATTTTTGTGTCTATCTCCACGAAGGATATTTGTCTGTAGTTTTCTGTAGTTTGTCTAGTTTTTCTATCAGGGTAATACTACCTTCAAAAAATTAATGGGATGTGCTCCCTCCTCTTCTATTTTCTGGAAGGAATTGTGTAGAACTGGTGTTGAATTAAGCAAGTGGCACAGTGGGCACATCCCACCTTCATTGCTAACTGTGTGTAAGGCTCAGTATGAATTAAATTCCTGAAGTGTGGCAATGGATCCAGTCCCCACCTTCCCACTTCTCTATCCTTGTCAGCTGCTCATGCTGCATGCTCCCTCTCAGCTCGAGCCACCCAGAGCTGGGTCAGAGAGCACACATTAGAAGGACACCTTCTTTCAGACTGACAAACAGGCAGCCCCTGCTAGTTCTCACTGCCCCTGTGGGTTTGTTAATTTTCTGGAACCACCACAGAAATCAAACAGAATAAACCATACTTACTATCCAAACAGGACACAAACGAAGAGACACATAGGGTGAGGTATGGGAGGGGTCACAATGCAAAGCTTCCGTGTCTCAAAGAGGGACTCGCTACCCTCTCTCATGTATGGTCACTAACCAGGAAGCTCCATCTGAGCCTCTATGTTCAGGGCTCTTATCGCCACACCATGTGGCCCTGATAAATTAAATCATGCCTTGTGAGGCTTAGTTAGCACCAACCCCCAGGTGGTCCTCTTGGTCTGGCCAGCCCCAGTTCATTAGCCTCAGGTGTTGGTATGGCTACAAAGAACCAAGGACAAAGGCCAAATGGCTTGCTGCAAGGTGATGCCACACCTCACAGGTGTTAATCATTCTGTAAGCATTTAGAGGAACTCTCCATTCACTGAAACCAACTGAACCTGGAAATTTCTCTTTTGAGAGTGTTAAAATTACAAATTAAATTTCCTTAATTGTTACAGGGTAGTCAAATTATCTATTATCATTACAGGCAAGGGCAGATTATTTAATAGGCAAGGTAAGTACAGTGCTTACCTTGCTTATCAGATCATCTGAGGTGAACAATTTCACGTTTTTTAACCACATCAAAGACTCTGCTTCTAGGTACGGCTGGCATCTGTCTCTCTCCCAACCCCACAGCACTTTCCTATAGAATCAAAGCCTCTTTTCATATTTACAATCCCTGACAGGGCGTATGACCCAGTAAGCAAAGTAAGCATAGGCTTGCTTGTGCTTACTTACTAATCTGTAGTGAACAATTTCACATGGGTTTCACCCCATCAAAGATGTGGTGAAACCCATGTGAAATTGCTCACTACAGATGATCTGGTAAGCGAGGCAAGCACTGTGCTTACCTCGCCTATTAGATAATCTGCCCCTGACTGTAGGTGAGTTGTGGCAGCTTATATTTATCAAGGAATGTCAAATTTACGTATGTAGAATTCCCATATTATTACCTTATTATCCTTTTGATGTCTGCAGGGATAACTCCTCTTTCATTCCTGATATTGGTAATTCGTGTCTTCTCTCTTTTTTGTCAGTCTTGTTTGAGGTTTGTCCATTTTATCAATCTTTTCAAAGAAATAGCTCTTTGTTCTATTTATTTTCTCTACTGCTGTACTGTTTTCAATGTCATTGATTTCTCTTCTTTATTATTTCCTCCTTTCTGCTTCCTTTGCACTTATTTTTCTCTTTTTTCTCTAGGTTCTTGGGGTGGGAGCTTAGGTTACTCACTTGTGACTTTTCCTCTTTTCTACTGTATGTATTTACTGCTATAAATTTTCGTCTCCACACTATTTTAGCTGTGTGTCACTAATTTTGATATGTTATATTTTCATTTTCATTCAGTTCAATGTATTTCTTGATTTCCTTTTTGACTTATGGATTATTTTAGTTTCCAAGTGTTTGGAGATTTTCCTGTTACCTTTCTGTTATTATTCTGTTACCTAATTTGATTCCATTGTGGTTGGAGAGCACACCCCCTGGGATTTCAATTCTTTGTAAATTGTTGAGGTTTGTCTAATGGCCCAGGAGGATGCGTTCTACCTCAAGTCCCAAGATGCCTAGCTATCTGCCTCTTTCTACCTTTCAGAGTCTTTTTATGCTTGTTTTATATGCAATGTTCAGGGTTTTTTAGCTGTGATTAATAGGAGAAATGGGGAGAAGTATGTCTATTGCTTCTTCTAGGAAGCAGAAGCCTCTGTCCCAGTGGTACTTCAGGGCAAATAATTTCACTTAAATACATAGCTCTAAAAGATACATGACCAGATATTATTTTAGATGCTTAATGGATACTATCTCTGAACTGCACAATAGTCATGCATGGTAGGTATTATGGTCTGTACTTTGTAGATGAGGAAACAGAGGTTCATTGAGGGAACATAAGTATACAGTTACACAGTTACTGCATGATTGGGTCTGGATTTAAAAGCAGGCCCTCTGAGACTTTTCATGTACCTTTCTGCTACACTATGTCACATCCAGATTAGACATCAAAGAGTGAGGATCAAGCCCTGTGTAATCTGACAATTTGAACAAAAAACGTCAATATAACAGGAAAATTATTGTATGGCTATGGAGTAAGGACTGGTTTGGAATTCTGGTTTTGCCACTTAGTAGCTGTGTGGCTTAGGCGATTTATTTAACTTCCTTCTGTCAGTTTCCTCATATTTAAAATAGGGATAAGAGTAAGAGCTACCTTTTATAACCTGATTGCAAAGACTAATGGAAATAATCTCTGTAAAGTGTGTAGAACAGCACCTGGCACACAAATGTATTTCATAAATGTGAGCTACCACTATTATTGCTGAGACTACAGTGGAGTTCAACGATTCACCTTGACTTTGTAGAGTGGGCATGATCTCCAGGCAAAGGCAGAGGGGCCACAGCAACCCGCCTGTAGCTGAAGCATTACAGTGCGTTGAGCATGTCTACCTCTGTGTTTCTAATGGTTTTACTTTTAGTTTACTTTCTTTGGGGACAACTGAGAAAAAAATCTAAAATATTCACACTAATATCCTAAGATGTTCTTGAAGTTAAATAGATCAAATTTACCATTTCTTCTTTTTATTTAAGTAACAAAGCCTCTACTTCTCCATGTGGATACTTTGCACACGGAAGGTACTTAGGCATATCGGTGGGACTGGAATTCTAAAGTATGCTGGGTGTGTGGGGTCCTGCAATTATACCGACAAAGGATGGTTCTCTTAACTGGCCTGGTGGTCAGACAAAGAACATAGTGGTCCACATCTGCCCCACACAACCTTGCAACTGGAAGAATCACACTGGCATGTATTTGTCAGATTACCGAGCACTTCAGGTTGAGCGTATCATCTTCACTCCAGTTTCCTAGGTCTTTGTCAAGTTTAGAAGAAGCTCAGTACTCTCCTGATGCTCAACATAATGACTCTAAAGACCTTTGCCATGAGTTAGTGAGTTTGAAAAGTCTTCTCTGATATTTTCTTTCCTGTGTTTATCATCCACCATCCACTGCTTATTGTAGTGCATTTCTAATGAACGTGGTGTTGGTGTCATGGGGAGATGACTGAATTCTAAGTCAGAAGAGCTCACTTCTAGTCCAAACTCACCAAACATGTTCAAGTTAAGAGGCAATATAGATTCAGCTGTGATTAACTCAATGAGGAAGAATGGAGCTGGGTAGAGATGGAAAGGGATGTCCCATTTTTGCCTGCATCTAAATTATAAAAATATATAATACATGAATGGCTATATATGTGTGTGAGTCCCTGGGTGGCACAAATGGTTAAGTGCTCGACTACTAGCCAAAAGGTTGGTGGTTCAAACCCACCTAGAGGCACCTCGGAAGACACCCTTGGTGATATACTTCCAATAGGTCATAGTCTTGAAAACCCCATGGAGCAGCTCTACTCTGCACACACAGGGTTGCCACGCTTCAGAATCAAATTGATGGCAACTAACAACACCATATATGTGTGAGTCTGTTATAGTTGAACATATACACTTCTTGTGTATTGCTCACATAATGCATAAATAAAAATGCAATGACACTGCATACAATTTTTCTCACTCTAAATTTCAGTCATATGTGTTAAGAACTATGGCTAGCTTAATGGTTATACACTGTGTATAAAGAGAAGAGTCCTTGGGTGGTGTAAATGGGTAACCAGCATTTTGGCAGTTGGAGTCCATCCAGAGATGCTTAGAAAAAAATCCTGGCGATCTACTTTACTTCTAGAGAATCAGCCACTGCAAACCCTACGGAGCACAGTTATACTCTGACACGTGGGCTTGCCATGAATCAGAACTGAATCAATGGCAACTGGATATTTGCTGTATAAAGAGAAGCATTTATGGTCCTAAAACCATAAAAGAAATTTTTAGGAGAAAAATGGCCCTTCTATCAATTACTACATAGATGGATTTCTCTGGAGAAACAAGGAATATGGAGTTAGCTCCCATTATTACAACCACTCCTTGGTAAGAGGCAGAATTTAAAGAGTACTGTAAAATTCCCATTCCCAAGAAATACGTCTAATAACGATTAACAGAGAACCCTCCATTCCCTTCACCAGGGCAGAAAAGCACAGGTGTAAGGAATATATAAAATTATGGAGAAGAGTGGTTTAGAATGTGCATGGGGCTTTAGGTTGCATCCTCTTTCCATCTGCCCCCTATTCTAGACCCTCAAGACAAGAAGTAAAGGACCTTCAATGGGCAGATGTGCTTAGTCATTGCCCTGGTCATCCTGCCCCACTGTAACTCTTCCCTGCACTGGCTGTGCAGGGGCAGACTCGACCGGCTTCGTAGACGGATGCAGTGTAGTGTACTCAACATGGTACCAAGTGATGCAACAGCACAGAAACTGCCTGAGAGAGCACAGCCAATGCACAGAGCAACTGGGGCCTCTGACCAGGTCTGGGTGAGGGGGCAGCCATGGGACAAGGTCTGGGGTTGTTCACGCAGCACACCGCTGCTGGGACCTGCTCTCTCTGGATAGGGGAGGGTGGGGTGTTCTAGTTTCTTCCTTTCAACTCCAGACTGGCCATAATGCCATGAGGAGTTAGAAGCACTAATGCTAAGCATCAACAGGTACTATCAACCCTTCCCGTTAACACATGTCTCCATAGGCATATGGAAAGTATCTAACAGAAATAGTTCTCTTCCAGGATTGCAGGCTGAGAGTCAATGGTGTGCTGCTAAACCCCCAGTGGGTTTCATAAATGCATTCCTATACCTCCGTCTGCAAGACCCATCCTCACCAAGGCTTAGAGGTCTGATGCAAGTCGAAATATTTCTGCTTAAGAGGACACATAAAGATGGTGGCTATGCAGAGAAGTAACCAGAGCCAAGAAAGCTGACCTTTCTTACAACACATCAGAAGTGGGTGAATTTCTTACCATGTGCTCCTTTGTACAGACTGACTGGGCTACTCATCTTCGGCTCCAAGGGGTTGAATGGAGGATAATGGGGAGGGGTCTTCACTGGAAAAGAAAGCGTAACAAGGACCTGTTGTAAGGCTTCTCTGTAAGATGGGATATCGAGTCAGTATCTAGCTTGTTCTACTTTTTTCTTACCATACGGTGTTTCTGGTGACACAGGAAATGCTGGTGTTGAAGGGGCTGACTCGCTGCCATTTTTGGTTGGAGAGAAGATCCTGCCATTGATCACATCAATGTCTGAAGGGTAACTGGTGATCACTGTCTGAAATTGGCACAAGGGAGAAAATATAAGCATGGAGGATAAGGGGAAGGCCACCTCCAAACAGCTGTGGTTTCCCCTAGGCCCACCCCTGAGCCAAACCCTTGTCTGAAGAGTGGTAATGATGAGGCCACGTTCCAGATCCACAACCCCAGAAACCAGGCTCTCCTCTGAGCCATGGAAAATCAAGGAAAAAAATTAATGTTCAACAGTTGTTGTTGTTAGTTGCTGCTGAGTCGACTTCAACTCATGGCAACCCAATGTGTTACAGAGCAGACTTGCTCCATATGGTTTTCTCGGCTGTAGTCTTTCCAGAAGCAGGTCGCCAGGCCTTTGCTTCCACTGTAGTGCTGGGTGGGTTCGAACTGCCAACCTTTAAGCTGGTAGTTGAGAGCAAGCCATTTGCACCACCTAGGGACAGGGTTGCTCGTTATGAGTCAGAATTGACTCGATGGCAAATGGTTTGTTTTTTTGGTTTGGTAGGGACCTTAATGTTCAACAGTAAGGAATGCATAAATAGTTTATACATCTTTTTAGTAAGATTTTATATAGCTAATAAGTGAAGTTTACAGAGAGCTTGTAACAGTAAGGGAAAATGAGCATTCTAGCATGAAGTTAAAAAGCAGGATAAAGTAAATTTTAACTATGGTATGTTCACAGATATGTAAACATATGTACTCAATTAAAAACACAGGCATAGAAAAAGGACTGGAAGGAAATATTCCAAAACATTAACATTGTTTGTGTGTGTGTGTGTGTGTGTGTGTGTGTGTGTGTGTGTTAAAACTATGAGTGACTTTCTTTTCTCATCTATTCTGTGAGTTCCAAATTGTTCAACCTGAGAATAAATAAAACCTATATTAAAAATCATTTTGGAGTACCCTAACTGGTCTTATTTAAATCCTATGAAAAGCTTCAACTACCCAGAAGAGGACACCCTTCCTCTGTTGATCTTACCCCAGAGTAACAAACACACTCTGACATGCACTTTTCCTGCATCCCTCCCTGGGCCCCATGAAGGTCTTGGAGGAAGGACTCAGGATCCAGTGTGATGACCTCAAAGGAAGTCTCTGTTTGCCCATGTTCTTCTGTCCATTCACTGAGCTCCAACCAAGGCCGGGCCTTTGCTTGCATTATCTCCAACATCATAACCATCTACATGATTTGTATTAGCATCACCGTTCTACAGATAAGAACAGAGGCTCATGTGACCTGAGTGAGTTGGCCTCCATGCCACAGCCATTTTTGGGGTTAGCCGCAAATCTTCTAATCACACTATGTGTTTTTCAAAGAACAAATGTATGTGTGAGATGGGGAGGGGAGGCAGGACAGGAAAGAGGGTGATGATGGGGGTATGTTAAGCTCCCAGACCCAGCATTATCCCGTTCAGCCTGAGGTCTAGGAGATGAACGTGATTAGGATCCGGGAAGTGGCTAAGTCAGATTCTCAGGGCCCTGGTATCTACCTCTTTGGTGTCCGCTGAATTGAGGAATGACGCCATACTTGGATCTTGGTCCACAGTGGTGGTCTTTCCCCAGTTGCATTTGGAGAACGATGGCTGCCCGCCAGCATCGTTATCGTACTGCCCAAGGCTCAGCTTCCGCAGTCTTCCACCCAGGGGGTCATCCCCTATGGGGCCTGTCAGGGGAGAGGACACACTGGCTTCAGCTGACTGTGAAAACTCACAATTAAAACCCAATGTTGAAACTTCTAGAAGACCCTTCATATATCATTACTGGCTGACTTGGGTTACCAGAAGACAGAGGGGCTGGTGCACACAAACGTGCACCTCCCACAGGGACAGCAGCGCGGAGTGGGAGGTGACAGCGCAGCAGCCCCTGAACATAACTCCTGTCGCCAGGCTTGGCCTTCCAGAGTGGCTTCTGGGGAACGGAATTGTATCTCCCAGCCCTGAGAAAGGGCGTGTGGGAGCGTGAGCACATTGCCACTGGGCACTAGGGAGCGTCTCTACGTTCCCAGCTCTGGTTGTGAGCCCCTGTGCTCTGAGGCCTAAACCGGAGCACCTCCATGACCACATATTTCACAGCAGCTCCATGCAGAGCACAGCGACACTCTTTCAGGATTGTTAGATTCACAGCAATGAGAAATCCTAGGGGGAAACACACCTTCATCTAAGCGCCAACCATAAATACTCAACTATCCCAATACCTTGTTTCTGAGGGGGTTGGAAATGGGGAGCAGGGCTGGGATCTGTACTTTTTAACCCCTTCCAGGAGATTCTCCAAGCTCCACGCCACCATGTGTTACAAGACCCGGGTGTGGATTTCTGGCAGCCCATACCTCCATTCCACAAAGGAGTAAGCCACAGTGTGCACCAGTGAGAACATCTTCTCAGAGCCATGAAGCAGGGAACAGAGCTAGCTACGATCCAAACCCAGGTCTCTGAGGCTCAAGTTCCCTCCTAAATCATCCCATCTCCACCAGCTCCCAGCTGCACACCCAGGGGGCTGGGATGGGGGTGGAAGTGAGAGAGGAGAGCAGCAGCACTGGTTGGCATCCCAAAAATGGGCTTCACAGTCCCATGCCCAGCACTCAACAGTGACATGACAGCCTTAAGCCTCTGTCTCCTTCATTGTAAAATAAGTGTAATACCTGCTCTTCTCTGTCCAGACCCTGGGCTGGGGATTAAATGAAATCATGCATCTGAAAGTCCTACTAACAATGATGCTCACCCTCCCTCCACTACAGGGTGAGCACTGGCGGGCAGAGAGGGGCCCCCCATTCCATCCGAGTGACTGTCACAGACCTGCCACTCATGTATGTGCAGCCATCAATGAGGAAGTTTGGACAGGGGCGTTGTTATGGATTATATGGTGTCTCCCAAAACGACACGTTCATGTCCTAACCCCTGGTATGGGTAAATGTGACCTGGTTTGGAAATAGGCAAATGCAATCAGTTAGTTTAACATGAGGTCATACTGGAGTCGGGTAGGCCCTAATCCAATGTGACCAGGGTCGTTATAAAACAGAAGAGATAGAGGCAGACATACACAGAGCGGGGACGGCCATGTGAAGATGAGGAGAGGACAGACTGATGCTGCTGCAAGCCAAGGAATGCCGGCGGCCACCAGAGGCTGGAAGAGATAAGCAAAGATTCTTCCTCGGGAGCTATCAGAGAGAGCACGTCCCTGCTGACACGCTCAATTCTGACTTCTAGCCTCCAGAACTGTGAGAGAATAAATTTCTGTTGTTGGAAACCACTCAGTTTGTGGTACTTTGTCATGGCAGTCCTAGGAGACTGATGCAGGTATAGGACGGCGTGAGGCCACAAAGAAGACTGGGGTCCCCCGTGACCTGGGACAGAAGTCACGGGCACTGATGTGTCAGCTTAGAGGTCAAGGTGCCACAATCAAAGCAGAGAGTTTCAGGAAGACAAACAGTAAAAGGAAGCTCCTGGAGGCGTTAGTGATGGAAAGGAGGAGGGTGTGACCTTGGGCAAACTATTGTGGACCTGATTCCTGATCTAAAAAATGGAATCCTGCCATCTGCGTGACACGTGGGCTGAAGGGAGGATGAGACAGGTTCAGGGGCATGTCAGCACGAGAAGTAATTTCACCCTAAAGAAATCCATCTGTAATTGTGAACTGGAGAGCTTATCTGCCCTTTAAATGACATCAACAGTCCATTTCAGCCTGGAAATTCAGAGGTTGTGAGGCTTCTCAGCCTCCTCGAAGATATGATTTGGGAACAGGCAAGTATATTCCTCTTACCCACCTGACAAGCTAATAAATGGTGATTTATCTCGAATAACACAGTGATGTCAGAACAAAGGGCTATGCTGCATGAATTTGGCTGGCAGTGCAGTTTCTAGAACGGTCTGAGTGCAGAACAGCCTGGAGAAAATCCCTCCTGTCCTAAAATTGTCTGACCTGGATGGTCAAACAAGGAAAATCAATCAGAGATTTCATTTACAGTATCTACTGGAACCCAGAACTTGAACCTGGTTAATGCTGCCTCTGACCCCAGGCTCCCCAGCCAGAGGTGGGGGCTTTCAGAGTTTAGTACAGGAGTCAGCTGGGGTCAGGCCAGGCTCACACCAGATTGCCGTGGTGAATTCTGCCTCTCTGCTCACGAGAGATGTGCCCCGACCACTGTCTTGTGTACGAAACGAGGACAATGCATCACAGGGTTGTGTGGGGATTAAATGAGGTAACAGAGCAAATGTTACTGCTCTACATGTAGTGAGTCTGCAGCAAATATTAATGTTAAAAACTGACCAAAAACCCAAAATGAATATTTATGTAGCAATTAAAATTCTCATTTTATGAGACTTGAAATGGGCAAATATGCTAAAATATTAAGTCAAAAAAGCAGCATACAAAAATATGTATGTGGCATGGTTTATTTTGACTTAAAAAATAAGGAAACGAACTGAAATGTGAGTACAGATTCTCTCTCTTGTTCTTTTAGGCACTATAAATATTTTTCTGAGTGTCTACATTTTCTGAAGTTTTCTCTAATAACATGTTGTTGTTGTTAGGTACCGTCGAGTAGGTTCTGATTCATAGTGACCCTATGTACAACAGAACAAAACACTGCCCGGTCCTGCAACATCCTCACAATCGTTGTTATGCTCAAGCCCACTGTTGCAACCACTGTGTCAATCCATGTCATTGAAAGTCTTCCTCTTTTTTACTGACCCTGTACTTTACCAAGCACGATGTCCTTCTCTAGGGTATGATTCCTCCTGATACATGTCCAAAGTATGTGAGGTGAAGTCTCACCATCCTTGATTCTGAGGAGCATTCTGGCTGGACTTCTCCCAAGACAGATTGGTTTGTTCTTTTGGCAGTCCACGGTATATTCAATACTCTTCACCAACACCATAACTCAAAGGCGTCAATTCTTTTTCAGTCTTCCTTAGTTATCGTCCAGCTTTTGCATGCATATGAGGCAACTGAAATCACCACGGCTTGGGTCAGGTGCACCTTGTCTTCAAGGTGACGTCTTTGCTTTTCAACACTTTAAAGAAGTCTTTTGCAGTAGATTTGCCCAATGCAGTGCATTCTTTGATTTCTGGACTGCTGCTTCCATGGGTGTTGATCGTGAATCCAAGCAAAATGAAATCCTTGACAACTGCAGTCTTTTCTCCATTTATCATGATGTTGCTTATTGGTCTAGTTGTGAGGATTTTTGTTTTCTTTATGTTGAGGTGTAATCCACACTGAAGGCTGTGGTCTTTGATCTTCATTAGTAAGTGCTTCAAGTTCTCTTCACTTACAGCATGCAAGGTTGTGTCACCTGCATATCGCAGGTTGTTAATGAGTCTCCCTCCAATCCTGATGCCTCGTTCTTCATATAGTCCAGCTTCTCAGAATATCTGCTCAGCATACAGATTGAATAGGTACGGTGAAAGGATACAACCTCGACACACACCTTTTCTGACTTTAAACCACGCAGTATCCCCTTGTTCTATTCAAACGACTGTCTCTTGGTCTATGTACAGGTTCCTCAGGAGCATAATTAACTGTTCTGGAATTCCCATTCTTTGCCATGTTATACATAATTTGTTATGATCCACACAGTTGAATGCTTTTGCAGAGTCAATAAAATGCAGGTAAACATCTTTCTGGTATTCTTTGCCTTCAGTCAGGAACCATCTGACATCAGCAATGATATCCCTGGTTCCACGTCCTCTTCTGAATCGGGCTTGAATTTGGGGCAGCTCCCTGTCAATGTACTGCTGTAACCACTTTTGAATGATCTGCAGCAAAATTTTACTTACATGTGACATTAACGATATTGTTCAATCATTTCCAATTTGATTGGCTCACCTTTCTCTGGAATAGGCATACATATGGATCTCTTCCAGTTGGTTGGCCAGGTAGCTGTCTTCCAAATTTCTTGGCCTAGATGAGTGACCACTTCCAGTGCTGCATCCGTTTGCTGAAACATCTCAGTTGGCATTCTGTCAATTCCTGGAGCCTTGTTTTTCGATAATGTCTTCAGTGCAGCTTGGACTTCTTCCTTCAGTACCATCGGTTCCTGATCATATGCTACCTCCTGAAATGGTTGAACACCGACCAATTCTTTTGGTACAGTGACTCTGTGTATTCCTTCCATCTTCTTTTGATGCTTCCTGCATTGTGTAATATTTTGCCCATAGAATCCTTCAAATTTGCAACTTGAGGCTTGAGTTTTTTCTTCAGTTCTTCAGCTTGAGAAATGCCACTCTAATAACACGTAAACCAAAAAAACCAAACCCGTTACCATCGAGTTGATTCCGACACATAGCGACCCGATAGGACAGAGTAGAACTGCCCCGTGGGGTTTCCAAGGAGTGGCTGGTGGATTCGAACTGCTGTCCTTTCGGTTAGCAGCCTGGGCTAACATGCATGACTTCTAAAGTTAGCAACATACAGATTCCCTTCGAGAAGAATACAATTACTTTATATTTTTTAATACCCTGTACTGCCTATAACCGAATTTCCCCAAAACCTTCATCTAATTTCATACCAGTTTTAGTTACATGTTTACATCCACAAACTCATAGGCATGGTCAATAAACTTTTCATTCTCTCCGATAAATCTACCATGTCTGATAGCCATATCTTCTAATCAGGTATATAGAAAATAGTATCTGAGGTCGTTTTCAGTATCAGAAAGCTAAAAGGAGA